TACATAGAAATGATACCAATATTCTTATTATAATGTTCTTCATCTCTGATAATTCATTTAAGCGAAACATCCTGATCCCTGGTTTCTGATTCTCAATCTCTGTGAACATGGTCACATGAAGGTGTTTACTGAAAAACCGGAAGGGCAAATATTTGTATTTCTGATTATATTTAATGATTAAGATTCAATGAAAACTCCCATTAGTATTGTATTTTATCATTTTAATAGGAATTATCATTTAAAACTGCTTGAGAATTATTTTCTTTTCAGCTTTTGTTTTACGACTTATGCGCGTTATCATGCGCAGAATGCTCGAAATTTTAAACCCGCGACCTACTATAAAGGTACTGTGGTGTCTTTTTTTCTAGTTCACTTAGATATATCGAGTCGACATGTGAATAAAAGTAACAATTAATTTTAATTTCAATAAAAAACACATCGAAGATATGCATCTGAATTTCGATTGAAGGCTAAATCAAGTGCCTTTTACTTCTCATGCAGATTATTCATTGTATATAAGGCAATGCATAGACATGAGTACTGTGTAAATTTAAACTTGCACAATTTAAAACAGAATTATACCAACGATGATTGCCCCTTTGTGTTAAAGGAAAGATACTCAACACTCTACCTGTAATGATTATTGTCAGCCATTTGCAGTACAGGTGTAGGGGGTTACGCTTTATTGTTGTATCTCAAATAGCATTTAAATACCATTTATTTGAATGAGACTTGTTATTTTAAAAAAGATACATATCTCGGTTTTGAATAGGCCGTGTAAGAATAAGCAGTATTTTATATTGTGTATTTAAAAGGAATTCTATCTGGTCAAAAAGATAAGTAAAATGATATGTCAGTGCTATGCTTTATTCACAAGATACATGTACGTTAATCGCATATGTTTTCAAAACATTCAAAATTATTTTTTATTCAATATAAATCACAATCTTGATTTAATTTAATCAATTTTAAAGGAAATTAAATTTCTGCATTACATAACTCAGGTAGTAACAAAAAAGCAAAAAAAAAAAAACACATCAAAGTAAGGTAATAATATGACCAACACAGGTAATTCTTGAGGGATTTAAAATCAGTATGTACTTATGTCCACCGTCGGGTAAATTAAATTAAGCCTTAACTTAATTCTTTGTTGTGATGTGGTTCTTTGTTGTGATGTGGTTCTATACTGGAAAGAAATAATTTTTTTTTTATAAAAATTGGTTAACTATCACTGTAGGTATTAGTAACTAAAGCTGGCGTAAGATCACTACACTCAGGTAATATCCTAACATAAACTGTATGAAAAAATCAACTCAAGCTAGTGTTAGAATCCCCAGTGCCACAAAACTCAGGTATGATCGATATATGGAACTCAAAAAGTCCACACAGTCCTGTTAAACCTGAACACGACTGAAGGAATGTGTCCAATATTCCTTTATTCTCACGATATATCTCAGTTCCCTAGTATATAAACTCTTCACGTAGTCGCGGTTCAGTGTAATTAGTTTTCACTTGTGTAGACAAACGTATGCTACATAGTTATTGTAAAATACTTTGTAGCAATATAAGTTTCTGTGTGCTTCTTCCACGACAGGAGAAAAAGTTATAAAAGAAACTTACACTTCATTGCAGTATAAAAAGAAATACAAATACATGTACACGTTAACTGAAATAAAATGTTAACAAAGGTAATATAAGAAAGGTAATATGAGACAACCAGCTCGAAAAAGATCATCCATTCTATGCAGGTTTCCATGACAAAAACAAAAATGCGAAAGATACATACCTGTGCTGATACCAGAGATGATATCAACAACAGTCTCGTTTGAAGTCATCATTTCGCAAGTTTTATGGTCGATACAATGACCTTCTCAGCACATACAACCTATCATTGAGTCAAATGCTGACTGTTCTTTTTCATACTAATTGTTAGGCCATTATTTATACACTGAACTGTCTCTGAATTTTTCTTTTTTTTTTTTTTTTAATTCTGACAAGGAGCACACGGCGGGTATGACCCGGTCGGCAGGGGATGCTCTCTTCTCCATGGCACATGATTCCACCTCTAAATTTTGAGGTTCTTGTTTGCTCTGCTCCAATTTTGTATCGTTTCATTGGACTTTCAAGATTGAATACTGTTCGTTATCTTCATATTTCATGATAAAAGTTATATGGCGTTAGCCTATATACCAGTCGTGTTCAGCGATAATTTACATATATAGAACTTAGTTGAGGACCAAAACGATAACTAACCCGTGGCCTTTACATGGTCAAATAGGAAAAAGACAAGGTCAACATATATGTAACTCTATTAAATAGAGGTAAATAAGTATGAAGATCAAATTAAGGATACAAAAAGCTCTGACCCACAGTTAATTGAATTAAAAAAAAAACATTCACACGAATGATATAAAACTTTATTGTTTTTTTTTATTTTGATATGATATCGGAAATATTTTCAATAATCATCATCATCATTGTTATGACCTGAAAACTGATATAATTTAATGGTTAATACAGGACTGGTAAGAGGGTAAATATAAGGAAGGTCATTCCTGACATTGCCAGTCAATTCAGGAAAGACAAATTAAAAAGATTTTAAGACAAAAAAAATTCTGACTTTCTTTTTCTGTGTTTCATATTTTGATATTTTGATTAATAACATCATTTAAAATTAATATGGAAAAAAATGACAAATTATTTCAATGTAAGTCCTGAGTAATCAGTTTGTTAATACGGAATTTGTAATTGAAAAATTGCAAAATATCGGCGGCATTGATGTTTCTTTTCCTTTTTTTTTAAATACGCTCCTGATGTAAAATATACATTTACAGTGAATCTACATGTATACACCTGTATAATTATAAGTTATTAATACATAATAAATTCAAACAGCTGCCTTGAACAAATGTACCTATAGTAGATCTAGTTGTGCATTCTTCTACATAATGTTTTCTTCAGACAGCTTTGGGGCTTTCCAATAACAAAAAGAGGACTTTGTAATTATACTCATATGGGAACTATAGGTATCATTCTGTGAGCTAAGAGCTCACTGTATCTCTAGTTATTGTATTGAAGTCCCGTTAGGATCACATCACAGCAGCCTAGTGATCCGAGGACCGATGTTTGATTCTCTTCTGCATCAAACCAAAAACGTGAACATAGATAGCGATTTCCCTTCGACAAACGCTCGGCATTAGATCTGAAAGTCGCTAGTCTTTTGGATGAGACCTTAAAACAGAGGTCCCATGTTAATGTAGGTGTTGGCACGACAGAAAACCTTCACTGCTAAATGGCCCTGAGTGCCGAGTATAGATCTAAAATTGAAGCCCGTCTCTGGTATATGGTGACGTCTCCTTATGAGTTAAATTCTTGAATAGGACCTAAAGGAACATACATACTTATAAATTTGTAGACAAAGATCCAGTTCTTAAGGAACGATATCACTACAATTCTTATTAATTGAATTCTTTTCAAGTAATCCTGTCAAAACTTAGCAATTTATCAAATAACACACACAAATCAACTTAGAAAATATATAAAGATATATTAATTTATGTATAAGTTATGAACACAGTTTAAGAAGTTTTGGGACAACCATCATACACGAATATGTTAATTTATAAACAGTAAAAGAGACATTGAATTACTCATCGACAGTTAATATTCTAAGGTAGAAAACAGAGCAATTTGGTTGGTTTTAGTTTTAAAAACCAAAACTTGTTTACTGTTATGGAAATTCAGTATTTGCCCTGGATTTTATATAAGTTTAAAAATTTAAAATATGAACCACAGATTGACCACCGGAGATTATGCTCCTGGGTTATGCTCTGAATTTGAAATTTTTTCTATGTCATATGAATGGTAAAACAATGACAGGGATTCACTTAAATTAAAGAGACTGGTTTTTATTTGGATTGTATGCTGATAAAACATAATATAAATTTCAAACAAAAAAAAATCACATACTACTGAAATAACAAAAGAAAATAATTCAGGGTATTGCCAATTCAGAATAGACCCTTTTCCTATGACATATTTTGCCTAGGAGTTATTTTCCTTAGCCGCCATATTGTAGGGCATCATTCCCAGATCCCTTCATTATTCAACCAAGTTCAATTTCTTATACTGGTTACTGAGGTAAAGATAACACTATTTTTCTTATGAATACACATTTGTTATATCCTCTATTAATCCATGATAATAAGATTGTAAATATTTTCCCCCATATTTTTCTTGAATGCATGTTTAAAATTGGTTGCTCAAAGAGGTAAATTCACTGCTTTGCCATACAAGATGGCGGCTAAGGGGAATAACTCCTAAGCAAAATGTGTCATAGGAAAAGGGTCTATTACTGTAGAATATCTCAAATTAGAGACTGTCTGACACAAACCATTGAGTTACTAAACACTGCATGAATGGGGCAAACACCGTGGTAAAGAGTTAAGAGAGAAAAAAAAACTAAATACAAGTGTATGAAACAAATATATGTCTCTTTTATTAAAAACACACCAGCCCTTATCATGTTTCTGTGATTATAAATATACACACATGTAACAATGCATTTTCAAATTTTATCGCAGCCATAAGTGTTATTTTAATTTTCCTTGGGATATTTTGAACATTTTTCTGGAGTCCCCTGAAGTTCGTATATCGAAAGTAGATTGTATACTCTATTTGTTAGGATGATAAGGGTAGAAATAGTGTACAATGAAGCAAGTACATGAGATATGACATGTAGATAATAGAATACATACTTGGTGTGTGATTATTAATTCTGATATAAGGACCTACTAAAAGGACTCGATGCTTAATAAACGTCTCTTCAATATTTTTTTCCTTAAAACAAAAATGATTGGTACATGATATAAAATATTGTAGGGAAAACAAAATTTAAAAACAAAAATCCGTTTGTTAAACTGTTTTGTTCATACTGAGTTCACGCCGACAGGGGTTATGAAACAAATAGATCAAGCATGAGCAATGCAGTACATGAAATATTAATTTTCCGTTTTCTGCAAATACTTGTACACAGAGACAGTAGAACTGTACCATCCCCCTACCCAGAGATTGTGTTGATTATCAATACAGAGAACACACGGATATGGTGAACATTGTTTTGGTGTGAGTAAGAGAGACAGAAACTGACCATCAATGTCCAGAAGATGGACACTTGAGTAACGTGTATTATACATAAAATAGTTATTACACACCAAAATGTGTCCCAGAACATTTGTACAGATTCCATAGGGACAAAATAATAACTGACTGTGGTGACCAGAGTAAGAGAACCGATATTTTCCTGATGCGGTCACCACCACAACCTTACTGGCCGAGCTGTCTGCCGTACAAATGTCACCATTTATGTTCTCTGTGATAAAGTGAACTCTTTGGTACAGAGTTTGTCCTTCATTATCACACTGTATGTCCTGTAACTTCCTTCCCTCTCTATTGTATCTGGTTATTTTCTCATCTAAAATTGTCCCCATCCCGACCAATATGTGCCCATAGATATGAGAGAAATAGATGGCACCAGGTTTCCAATTCCCTGTTTCAATCAGTTTGCGGACGGATATGTTACTGCATGTAGTTACTCTGTATACAGTGTTTTTACTGTAATTTGTGTAAAGAAGTTCTCCCTCTGTTGTGACTGTGTGGTTACCTCGGATATACCACATACTGCTGAATAATTTTTGCAAGATGTTTCCTTCCATGTCAGACTGAATGAGATTTCCCGATGTATCAGTGGCCCAAAATTTACTGGAGGGCAAGGGAGTTAAATGGTAAATTTTATGTCCCTGGATAGTTACTTTTCTCACTTTTGTGACAGAAGAAAGCTTAAAGCTTTCAGATGAATCTATTTCAATTTTTCCAAACTACTCGGCTATTTCTTCTTTATCTAGTTTACCTAGTGTAAAAATGGGCAGTTTGTGTTTAGCCTTGTTAGGCATCTTCAGTGAAGCTAATGAAATATATTTATGGATTTTCATGAGTTCAGTGGGTTTTACTGAGGGCATTTTACTCTTATAGCCTGCAGTCATCTTTTTCAGGTAATTTATGTAGACCTCTGATTTCTCTTTTTCTTCCACCATATCATTTAGTACAGAGTTCTCGATCTCATCCAGTTTTTTGTTATTATCAGTTAGTATACTGTCGATCACCTCTTTCAGTTCATCTGCTCTTTTCTTCATGGATACTCTAAACTTGGCAATTTCTTTCTTGACATTCTCTCTCTCTTTCCTCCAATGGATTCAGCATTTTCTTTAGCTTTAGGTATGACTGTTTTCCAAATATCAGTCATTTCCTTCTGACATTCTTGTAGAATGTCATTATAGATGGTTTCGAGGTCACTGTTTGCATGATCACTGTGTTCTTGGGCAAAGCATGTAGAACAAACAGGATCCTGGCAAAACTTACAGAAAACATCTATATCTTTGATGGGGTGGATCCTGCATTTCTCTGAAGGAAGTTTTCTTTTTCTCTCATGATAGCGTACAATCTCATGTCCTGTGTTTTCCTTTAAATGGGCCTCTTTACAGTGGTCACAGATTCGCTGGTGACAGGTATTGCAATAAAACTCAGAATAGTTCCTACAGGATTCCGTGTCACACTCGATTAAATGCCGGGCAGAATCTGGTACTTGATCCATTATTGTTGATCAAAACTACAGAAAATATTATCAAAGTATTAGTAAGGCTCATGAATGAAAATATAGCTTACAACTCATGCAAGACTCTATATTTAAAGGAAGAGATTTACTATTATTAGCTTATTACCTTTTTTTTGTAATCTGGTCAATGAATAATTTTCACAATACCTAACGAGTCATAATTCGTGTCAGCCATTTGTAATGAATGTCTAAACAGGTAATATGCAATTTACTTCCTGCTTCAAACAAAAACATTTAAATCTCCATAGTGTAAAATTAAAGAGAAAAATGGGGCTAGAATTTCACACAGTAAATGTAATTTAAATGTTAAAAGGGGATCATAATGTAAAACAATATTGATTGGTTCTTGAGAAATGTTTATCATTTATTGATTTAAAGATCTGGTTTCATATAAGAAGTTGTTCATTCATTTATTGTCCCCGTGCTCATGTATTGTTGTTAAACTAAGGAATTCATTTTTTTTTAATTAGCATGAATTTACTGGAAAAATCTTCAGTAAAGAAGTATCAACATTCTAAACAGGTTGACCAAGTGAATAAGGTTGAATTAGTTTAATGTTGCATGTATCTGAAATCTGTCTCTTTTTTAAGAGGGGAGTAACACGATTTGTTTCTGTCTAGCTGTCCATCTGTCTGTCACATAGCACTAGTGATAGGGTATACCTTGATAATTAAGATAATATATTATTTACGTTGCTAATCGGGTTACATGGTTGCCTAGCTACATGACAAACATAGCAGCTGTTTATTCCTTTATGTTACACTTTCAGCTTAAAACGCAGTATTTAATATTCATATTTTTTACCTGAAGATATTACATTAATCATTTGAATGTAAAAATGAACTTATTCATAAGTTGCTTTAAAATTTCATGCCAAGTATTCTAATAACCTAAGCAACACATCACCTGATGTAGTTTGCTATATGAACGGTATCATAATGTGACTAATAGGTACATATATAACTCTTCAATCAGGGTAAATAAGACTCGAAGAGTGAGATGTTAAGGAAGTACAATACTCGGGTTAATTTCTGAGAGAAAATATTTTCAAACTCCAAACATAGTTTAACTAACTCGCATAGAATGTACGAGGGTTGATCCAAAAGTTCTTGGAAGTTCTTTGTAAAATTTTATTGTGATGTGATTATAGCAAACAATAGACATATCTATAAAATAGAGCCGTTAAGCAACAATACTGGAAAATTTCAATACGTTTAAGATCACACGAGTTTTCTTAACATGGACAGCTGTAAAATCCGAGGGAGACTCGACGTAGCGTCAAGTTAGGTATGTCACGTCACGATCTAGGAGCATCTCAGCCTCACGTTCAAATCGACTTAGAGATTCTACAGAGCACTGCATTCTTTTCTCCTTTTCTGTTCTCGATGAAGGCCTGGGTACCCATCTCGTTCCCACTTTCTTCATATTACGATCATTTTTTTCAAAATACGCTCCGTCTTTCCGTTTGATTTTCCGATTTTAGTAGCAATGTAAAGCTCAGTACGTCGGTGGTCTACGTCCATTAACGCTCTCAATTTGTCTACGAGGAAAAAACGACCTTCCAATATTCGGTCAGACCTTCATCATCCTCCACAAAAGTTCTGTTTTCCTTGTTTTTATTTACTCCACTTGAAAACCAGTTGTTTGTCCTGCCTGTATCATAAGGATATGCGTTTCAGTCGGAGCGTTCCCGAGATTTTCACAAAAACTTAGTACCTGACCGAATTTCGACGTTGTCTAACGATGTCATGATGAACAACAAATCATCAATAGAAAAACTAAAAATCCAGTAAAAATCGATAAAACTTTCACACAGGGGTTTATAAGAGTTCAAGCAATCGTAATTATAACATCATTTTCGTTTTATATGCCACTTTTTTTTCTCACAATGAGTATTAGGAAATACAATGTCTCCCCCGCATTTTCAAACATCCGTTTTTATGACAACTGCCAAAGTGTTACTATCATTAATATTTAAAAGATCTTTTTTATTTTAAAAATTCAAAAAGCATACATATTTTCATCTGTAATTCTTAATCATTTCCACTAATATATAAATAAAATATTAAGAAATTCCACGAACTTTTGGATCAACCCTCTAGTTACGAAAAAAAAATCATTGTCATCACATTATTTTTTTCGGTAGTGCCACTTAAAGTTGGGGGTACAGATCGACCCTGGTGTGGCAAAATCAGCTTCTGATAATTCACATAATGCTATATATCAAACAGAGAAAACAAGGATATGGAAAGAATTATTTATTGTTTATTTGACTTAAATTATACTTAAGCATGTAAATCATATACGATCCCAATTTTGATGCACAAGATGCGCATTTCGACAAATTATGTCTCTTCAGTGATACTCATGCCGAAAAGTTGGAAATCCAAATAATTGAAATAAAAAAAAGACTTTGAAGAGCTGAAAAAATAAGGTGCCAAAGACTGCAGCCAAATAGACCAAAGGATCAGAGATATGCATGAGGGAGATAATTCTTAATTTTGAAATAAATTTCTAAAATTACTAAAGCAATCAAGTATATGTCCGTATTTTCAAGCTAGTGCCGAAGTACTTAGCTACTGGGGTGAAGAGACCCTCGGGGACTAACATTCCACCAGCAGAGGCTTCAATGTAAATCATATACGGTACCAATTTTAATGTTCATGCCGAAACGTTGGAAATCCAAAATACTAAAATAAAAAAAATGAAGAGCTGAGAAAAGGTGCCAAAGACTGCAGCCAAATATGCCGAAGGATCAGAGCATAAGTAAATATTTTTTCAGATGAAAAATGAAAAATGCAAAGTTCTATACACTATACTAATGATGCAATACACCTTAGCTCTCTATTCCTGAGTGTCAGTTTTTCAAATATGTGAATGTTTAACTTCAATTCTTATTTAAAAATCTCTGTGAAAATTCAAATCAACAATGTATGTGATAGAACAAATTATCTTTATTTTCATTACGAAAAATGATATGTCCTCATATTTATTTAAAATTTATGCATGTTTTTACATCTGAACAGACATTTGACCTTTTTGCACTAAGAACCCCCCCCCCCTTTTTTTTTAAATGCCATTTTCAAATATAAAAATGGATATATATATATATATATATATATATATATATATATATATATATATATATATATATATATATATATATATATATATATATATATATATATATATATATATATATATATATATATATAGGTCACGGTCCACCAGTCCAAAGGTTCACTAGTCCGAAGGTCCCCTAGTCCGAAGGTTCAGTGGTCAGAACCGGTCACGGTAGCTCAGTCGGTAGAGCGCTCGCTCCGTGATCGGGAGCTCGTGAGTTCGAATCTCGGCCGCGACTGACCTAAGTCGATAAAAATGGGTAGCAACTGTTCATTTGCCATGCGCTTGGCACTTTGAAGTGAAAGTTGCGGGTCCTTCGGATGAGACCTTAAAAACCGAGGCCCCGTGTCACGGCATGCGTTGGCACGATAAAGTTCCCTCACTGCTCAATGGCCCTAAGTGCCGAGTAAAGGTCAAAATTTGAAGCCCTTCACCGGTATATGGTGACGTCTCTATATGAGTGAAAAATTCTCGAATGGGACGTAAAACAACATACAATCAATCAATCAATCAGTGGTCAGAAAATCCAATATAGTCTGTAAGTTAAACAGTTCAAAGTGCCCGGCTCTATGCAATTGTTCTATACTGTACCTAACAAGTTCCTGAAGTCTGGGGTTGAAATTGGACCACAAAATACTACGACTAAAAATTATTTATAGAAATTTGAAATTTCCTTCTTATATTTATATTCCCGCATCTCAACCCTTCCTTTCTCCACTTGTTGGCAATTCAATTTAGAGTTCTTTAGTTTAGAAAATTATCATTAACGCTAAACTTTATATGAGTGAAAGGAGGGTTTAAAAAAATCATTCGGGAAATTTAATGTTGCGGGAAGATGAAGAAATATGTTATATAGAATAAAATAGAATAGAATATAATAGATTTTTTTTACCAAGTCATCCAAATAGGCATATTATTTCAGTACAGACAGTAAATCTTGAAGTCCCTGAAATAATCGACAACGGGGGGAAAAATCCCTAGATCTGTAGAACTTACCGTACTGAATAAGTTTTGCTTTCATTTCTGTATATTTACATTTCCAGATATTTTTCCTTAAGATTCTTTGCAAAGCAGAAGACTGTTCATTTTCTCATGAACTACCATGGATGAGCATGAATATCTCCATTGTTTCGTCATAATACCGTACTTGACGTCAAACTATAGTGCAAACGGTTTTGCTTTAAAAATGATACTTGAATGGCGTAATTTGGGTAACTCATCAGAAAATAATATAAATATAAAAAATGAATTTAATTTTTGAAAATTCATGAGGAACATGAGCTACAACGCTTCACGCCGACATATTTATCATGAAGCACTAACGCGCTTCAAGAAATATATGTCGGTGTGAAGCGTCGTAGTTCATGTCCTCATGAATCTTCAAAAATTAAATTCATTTTTTAAATAAAGGCCACTTGGTATTAACCGTCAACTGGCACACAACGAGCTTTGGCCACTTATCAATATCAGCCACTATGTAAATATTTTGTTATCTTTTACATTTAACACTTCGTAATTATTACCAGCTTACAATTAACAATCTCTGACCAACAGAAGTTTATCTCCAATAACTTGCATACCAAAGTTTAACACACAAAAACGAGTGGCCAATTTTGTCTACTATATAATCTTTATGTCAATAAATTTAAGTGGCTTTACTGGCAAGAACCCGTTTCTGAGCGTTTCTGAGCATACTTTGCTCGTCTTGACCAAACAATTATCTTTAATTTGTTTATATATATATATTGTTCTTTATTGTATTATCATTTAATCAAATGACCCGTTAATTACATTATTTACAATGATTTCTTGATTAAAACAATTAAGCAAAGGGGAATAACTCTAAACCATTTCAGATTCTACTGGACAAAGGGAGAGAACTCTAACATGGAGAGAAACATACATCTCAGCTGTGCAGTATCTGATATAACATATATTCAGTGTACAATTGAGGCAGGCAAAACATAATGAAACTATATATAATTATTTCGTTTTTGCCCAAAATGAATAAAAAAATATTTGGAGGAGTATCATACCAAGGCATTACATTTGGTTAACACAACTTTAGATGGTCTAGTATTTTCCAGAAAAAAATGCGTGAAACTGCCTTCGTAACTATATTTCTTACCTAGTTTGTTTCAGCCACCGCTGTCAAAGTTCTCTGCTCTTGGTCGCGGAGGTCTACACAGCCGGCTTGGTCAGTTATCGGTCAGAATGTGTAAACATTGGAAATCATTGACAAAGAGACTCAAGTATAACCAGCTTATTGTCAGGCTTGATGAGTTCACAGGTAAACAAACACTCACTCACTAGTACCACCAAGACTCAGAGAAGTTGAGATTGATAATTTTGACCTCATACAACACTCGTGTTTCCTGAGATATCGTTGCAATCTCTAATCGTGCTCAGAAAGCAAATCTGTCATATAGTAGTTAAGTATACTCAGGAATAGCTTTTGCTTTAAGAAGTTCAAATTGAGTTCACTGCAAGCCCATGGCAAAGTGAAAGGCAGTTATTTGGCAGTTTCTTAGCCTTAACAGTTTGAACTTTTTCAGCAGTTCTGGAGCAGTTACTTAATCTTCCCTAGACTGTTAATGGATAAACAGATTGCTTTCAAACCGTTTGCAATCTATAAGCAGTTTTCTTAGCCTTACCAGTTCGTAACCAGTTCGCAGGCAGTTTACAGGCAGTTTCTTAGCAGTTCATAGGCAGTTTCTTAACAGTTCATACTAGGCAGTTATTTATAGGCAGTTTTTGCTTACTGCTAGTGGTCTTAATTCCAGTAAGCTATTATATACTTCTTATATATTTCCCTTTTACAACATAAATATTAATTAGTCAGGAGGACATTTCTTATTATGCAGCCTGAAATAATATGCAATTATAATAGATCTACCTAACATTTTAATTTATTGTATTTGTACAATTGTATAACACAGTCAAACAATTAGAGATTGCTAAGATGAATGTTTAAAAAGTATCAAACACTGTTTTATGCATCTGTTATCATAATCAGTGTAACTATAATAATTAATACATGTACCTTATTTACATTCACATGTGCAACCAATTATACTCACTGACTAGTAACAAATATCTTATATATCCCAGGGCATATGAATTTAATGTTCAACAAGATTCAACACTGAAGGAAAAAGTCAAAAGTACAGCAAATATTCACTTCATCCAAACACCACAAGGCTACAAATTAATAAATATATTATACTTACCAATTGTTAAATGTCTACTTCATTATTTCAATAAATCTAAAGCTTTGTGGCCAGCAGGCTCCCTCCTCATGATGCTTTAAAGCTTTTGTCAAACAATACAACATGGCAGCCAAAAATTGAATTTTGGCGGTCTGTTGTTGGGTTCCTGTTGTTTATATTTGTTGATCATTGAGCCCAACATTAAAATTTCCCTTGAAACTAATCAAATTGTACAAGGAAACTGCTTATAAACTGCTTACAAAACTGCTTAGGAAAACTTTCTTCTCCTCAAGCATAGGCGACCAATATAAAACTGCTAGGGAAACTGATTACTGCTTAAAAACTGCTAAGGAAAACTGTTTACTCCAAAGGCACTAGCAGTCACAAAGAAAAGAAAAAAGCCAAACTGCCTGAAACTGTTTGAAAACTGCTTAAAATTTGCAAAACTGCTAAAGAACTGCCTAATAACGGCCTATATAGGCAGATCACTTTTCCATGGGACTACAAACTTCTCTTCAGAAGTTTCATTATTATATATATATATATATATATATATATATATATATATATATATATAGATATAGATATAGATATATAGATATATAGATATATAAATATATATATATATATATATATATATATATATATATATATATATATATATATATATATATATATATATATATATATATATATATATATATATATATATATATATATATATATTTCAGCTGAAAAGCAAAGTTAATTATAGGCAGAATTTAGAAATTATGAGAATGGATAGACACTATCTATAATCATAAATTGCATACATGTTGAATCATCTAATGTGAGGATTAATATCCAAGTCCGTTTACTTTCAGGAGAAATCATTGAATCTATTCATGAACTTCAACAACTAGAGGTTTCACAGGTGAGTTTTCTTGGAATGATCTCTTCCTAAAATTTGTTAAAGTATTACATGTAAGTGTATGTACTTATGGAATATCACAATGAATCATTACATACAGCTGACAAGGAAAAACAGAAGTCTGAGGCTAAACATATTGGGCAGAAGAAAAGAAAGGCTCTCAGTGATCTGTTTAAAGCAATAGCACAGCTAGGTAATGAAATAGCACATCTAGGTAATAAAATAGCACAGCTAGGTAAAAAATAGCAAAGATAGGCAAAGAAATAGCACACCTAAGTAATGAAATATCACATCTAGTTAATGACATAGCACAGTTAGGTAAAGAAATAGCACAGCAAGGTAAAGAAATAGCACAGCTAGGTATTTAATGAAATAGCACAGCTAGTAAGAGAAGTAGAACAGCTAGGTACACACAAATTAAGGGATTGTGTTCATAAGAGTCATATACATATATGTATACAGAAAGTGTTTACAGCAGACTACCTTAATTTTATTTTCAATCTCATTTGATTCCTTTACACATTAGTAATCAGTACGTAATGTGTTTATTGTACACATATATATATTTAGTATATATTGTACCTGTAACATTACACACAATGATAATAACTTATAATTTAAAATCATTTACGGTACCAATTTTGATGCACCAGATGCGCATTTCGACAAATTATGTCTCTTCAGTGATACTCAAGCCGAAACGTTGTAAATCCAAAATATTTAAATAAAAAAGATTTGAAAGAGCTGAAAAAGATGCCAAAAAATGGATCCAAATACCTCGAAGGATCAGAGCTATGCATGAGGGAGATAATCCTTATTTTTGAAATAAATTTCTAAATATTACCACAGGATTTAAATATATATCCGTATTATAATCAATTAAAATAACACTTCTTAATGTTACTAAACTATATACTTTATCATCTGTTATACAGAGCTTTCGTACAGGAGGGGACTTCTCTGTGATGCTGAGAGTTATCTCCCTTTGCTTGTCCCACCACTAGATGTTTCTGTCTGCTCAAATAAATTCAAAACAAGGTAGAGTGTTCATAACTTTGAAAAAAAGAAATGTACGTAAAATATAAAAGATGACCATCATTCAGTTGACTGTAAAAAAAGTCATGATCTATGTGCATGTGTGCATTGCATTTGTGTTTATTTTCCCTTGTAGTAAGAGCCGTGCTACAGAAATAGGTCAGAGTTGCCATGACTACTACTATAAATGTGTTGCCAGAAGGGCCAAATTTGCCACAGCTCTACAGACTCCATCCAAGGTGAGGAATATAAATAAATGCATTCCAGATCATAATACCAAAGGGTGAGTCACTGGTAGTTAAATCGGCTCTGTGTGAATTGTTTTCATTTTTAGGAACTAGGTGTTGGGAATATAGAAAGGTGTAAAGGATTTACTGAACACTTAATGAAGCTTGTGGTGGATCAATATTCTGGGGTGGTGGAGATTCACAAGGGTTATTTATCTTTAAGGTAGTTCAAATATGACAATTCCTTAGTGGTATAATTGCAGATTTGCTATTATTTTATTCATTTACAACTTTATAAAGATATTTTAAGGAATATATTTAGATAACTTAATTCATAATACATTAGCAGTTAGCATACAATTTTAATTTGTACAATTTAAGCTCCATGTCTGAAGTGTTAAAGGATCTGTGTTCAATTAATGGAACACCCCCTCCACAGAAGACAACAAGGGAGTATGTGGTATGTTTTGGAACAACCAAATGTAGACAAAATCAATCTAATTGTTTTATATCATATTTTTATTGAAAGCACATGTTCAGTTCTTTTTCAAATATAAATATGTGTTAAAGGAACCAAATTAAAGATCTTTGTGTGTTGACATCCATGTCTATGTAATTTCATTTCATAAAATCTAAGGTGTGCATAAAAACCTGCTATTATATTAATATCATTTTCCCCTAAATTTCACCATTCTATAACATTTTTAGGAGTCCCTTATATCTCTCTTGGTCAGCATGAAGGAGGGTCTTATTCAGGTCAAGGTCATACTTCAGTGTTGTCCATGACAACAAGAGGAGATAACTCATTATCCGTCTCCATTTCCCAGAAATCAATTGTCACAGTCAGCCCTGATGAAGCATGGGGATGAACAGTGGAAACACTGCTTTGATCATATGTATATTTAGGACTGGAAAAAAAATTAACCCTAAAATCTTTTTATGCCTCAAGTATCTGCAATAATTGAACAAAAAAGATAAAAATGTTTTCCCTCATTGCAGGAGTGACCTTGAGAAGGTGAGATCTGTGTACAGAGATTTAACTGACTGTGTACCTAGACTGACAGAAATAGAGAAACACTTCTGTGATCCTGAAGACAAAACTCTGCCCTCATTCATGGAGACAGTCAGGTACCTTAGACAGGAAATACAAACCAGGTCTGAAAATTTCACACAGTGGGTCAACATGGAGACAAAAAAACATAGCACATGGTCAGATAAGGATGAAATAAGGAGATCAGGGCTAGAATCATCAAGTGATGATGGTGGAAAGAAGATTGAGGTGGAGACATTTAGTGGAAAGGTGGAGAACTTGATAGCTGGTCTGTTACTGAGTGTACAGGAACTTACACAGAATCACAAACAGAGTACTGCAGAGGAGAAATGTGTTAGGTTTGCACAATCTGTTTTTATTCACAGTGTTTTAATAGGACATTTTCTGTTCTCTAACAGATATTTAATTTCATAGAAGAGGATACTGGGACATTGTTAGAGGGACATCTAGTCGTCCATCTTGAAGAGAGATTAAAGAGAGATAAACAATGTCGTCAACTGAAAAAGGTAAATGAAATTAATATCTTTATTATTTTGTTGTTTCTTTATGTTTCCAATGTTTTCATTCTAATGCACTGTATATTCAAAACATTTTAAGAATAATTATTATTTTGTTTTTTATTTGCAGATAATTCAGTCTCTCAAGACTTTGGTGAAGAATGTACTTGACCTTACAGACACAAGTTCAGATGTCCTGACCTTTGTCCAGATTTTAGGACAGTGTCAGTCATTAGTGCAGCAGTACCGAGACACGGTGGAGTATTACTTAATTCATAGTTTGGCTGAGAACAGGGTGACAGGGAAACTCCTGTCTGTTCTGTTAGCCGTCTTCACTGAACTGGCCTCTAAAGTAAGAAAGACTACATGATAGTTCTCATGTGAACACAACTGCCTAAAACTATAGTGTATGCTTTAACATCATGATGTTGGAAAAGTTACCCAAGTCAAAGTGGAAGGCAGTTCTTTAGCAGTTTTTTAACCTTAACAGTTCAGTGCTTTAGCAGTTCTTAGACAGTTTACTAGCCTTCTCCTCTGTTGGTGGCAGAAGGTTTTTGTCATACTGATCATTAGGCAGTTTTCTTAGCAGTCCACAATTTAAGCAGTACTTAGCCAGTTCATTAGCAGTAACTTAGCAGTTGCTTAGCAGTTTCCTTAGCAGTATCTTAGCAGTCAATAGGAAGGTTAAGGAGAACTGCTTAAAAACTGCTTAATAACTGCTAAAGGTGTTTTCTTTTGTTTGCTCTACTTATATGGAAATGACTCTGAGTGACCTACATATAAATTTGAAAATTGATTAACTGCTTAAAAACCGGTAAAAAGAATGCTATAAGTACTATTCTTGTTTACTTATAAGAAGATAACACCACCCATATACATGATATATGAATACAAAAATGCATATAATTTATGCTATTGAAAAAATAACATCACATATGGGAATTTAACTTAGTATTGAGATTTAGATCAGGTATTAATTGTATTAAATAATTAAGTCCTTTCATTAAGTCCATTTTCTTGCATAAACGAGTGGCAACTTTAGAGCTTGGTTAATTAATACAGTGGACTAATCTACAGATCCCTCTATCAGTATAGCTTAAATTTATCTGCAAATATTTTGAATTTATACTAAGTACTAATAATTAAAATACAAACTAGATTATACATTTTATAGTTTAACAGTTATCCAAATGAGAGTGGGGATGACTATTATATCACAAGCCCACACACTTACCATATTTTCTGAAGCATAATACTTTACTGCCAACAAATCTTTTAAAAATTTTCCTATATCACTCAATTCCATTGTTGCTGAATGCATGTATGATCAGATTTTTATAATAATGATTTCCCATCTCATGGAATTTAATTCAGATACACTTGTCACTAAATATTATGTTCACATCCAATCCTGGATGTGGTGATCACAGATAATTGTATTTTCCAAAGCATATATTTTACTTCTTCACTGTATGGGTATAAATATATATAATATTCCAGACCATCACAAACATCTTCACAATTTGTAATTTTGAACTGATGTGGAAAAGGCGCACAAATCTTGACTGGCTTTCCTCATTGGATACAACCCTTTAGTTTCAAGCAACCAAGGGGGACACAGCAGGTTGTTAATGTAACTAGAGGACTGGATTTACAAGTTGATGGGATAAAGATTAGAAGCTCATATGCTCATGCTTTTTATAATATGAAGCCTCAATTTATTATAAACTATTGTATCATTTCTAGTAAGATTTTTAGTATATATTTTTTTCTTTCTTATTTTATTTTCTGTATAAGAAACTCCTGCCTGGCCCCCAATTATTTGTGACGTTATCATCAGGAAGCATTAACAGTAACACATGGGCAGTAATGAAGGCTAGTGAAAGTTAGGACCACCAAGAGTGAAAAAGTGTTGAATTACTTCTTATAAGAAGTCGAAATGAATTAGTTGCACTTTTAGCAGTTTTGAGAAACTGCTTGTTTGACTGCTTTAGTTTGTTCAATACTGAACTGCTTACACAAATTCTTAGCAGTTTTTTAACCAGTCTGTAAGCAGTTTTAAGGAATGCTAAGACTAAGACTGTTAAGAACTGCCTAAAAACTGCCAAAAAATTGCCAGACTGCCTAATAACTGTTTATAAACTGCTAAAATAAGCAGTTCACTTTGACTTGGGTAATTACATATAATTATTTCTCCTAACTAAAAATTTTAATGCATATTATTTGTGTTTCTTGGGGATACTGAAAATACTGTTAATTTCAAGACAAAATACATGTATATGTTTGTTTTTCTAAATACTGTAAACTGTAAGATGTTTGTTTTTCTTACAGGGGTTCTGTGTACCAGCTGAGTTTGAGGATGATCTGGCAGTAGAGGGAGCTACAGAGTTTGAGTACATTGAGGGAGGGGGGATCAGATAGAGAATGAAGACCAGGTAAAGAACATCAGTTTTAATCAATATATTAGAGATGAAATTTAGGATTGAATTCAACATATGTTTGTGTTGTAAAGGACAACCCAAGTCTTATTTAGTTTCAACATGCGTTGGAATGTTTGCTTCTTCTAATAATGAGATTTCCTTTAAATATTTTTAAACAGCTTGATGAAGCCAGGAAAGCAGGGGAGGAGAGAAAAGAGGAAGATTCCTCCCAGCAGCCTGACATCAGGTCCGAGGAGAATGCCATAGAGATGCCTGACAACTTTGAGGGCAAAGTTCACGACCTTGAGGCAGCAGACCAAGAGGAAAGGTCAGATGAAGAGGATGATGGGAAGGAAGAGGAGCTGGATAGACAGATGGGAGAAGTGGATGGGAATGACACAGAGAAGTTAGATGACCAGATGTGGGGGAGTGATGAAGAGGAGGGGGAGGATCAGGGGCTGAGTGCAGAAAGGTCAAATGGTCAGAACCATTATTTTAATATTGAAAAAAAGGTTTGAATTTAGTCTTTAGTCTCAGAGAAAACATGCATAACATTTTAAGGCATTTTTTTTCTTCTTCTTCAAGTGCTCAATAATATTAGTATAAATATAATTTAAGCACAGATCTGCTTAATTAAGATGATGTTAATCTATATTTGTCAATTTTTAAAGTTACTTTATTGACTTAAAGTAAAATTATGACCAAAGTAAAATTTGATTAAAAAAGGAGAAAGAAGAATTTGGCCCAGGATCCCAGCAGGAGCAGAAGTGAACTGGTTGCTAAGGACAACAAGACAGAAGCAGAAGACAAATCAGAAAAGCAGACGACAGATGAAAACGAGGCTGAGGAAAATGATGAGAACCAGAAACCACAGGAACTGGAACAGATAGATGAGGTAGATAACAATGCTTGAAGTCATTCATTGAGAATAGGTGAAAATGAATACTTTAGTGTTAACATTGACTCTGTTGTAGTCAGAATATGATGATGACAGAATTGACACTAACCATGGTAACCAGGAACCCCAGCAGGCCCCTGACAACATGGATCTCCCTGACGACCTGAAACTGGATGAAGAAGAGGCTGGGGTCACGGAGGAAGAACAAGGTCAAGGTCAGTAAAAATAGCTATATAACTGAAAAAATACTGTCTTGAAATAAGAAAATACATAAAAAAATACTCGCACAGCAAAAGTTCAAAACCTTTTTAAAACCTTTAAATAAATGAATGTGTCCTCATATACTTACCATTTATTATTACTCTATGCAGAAGAGCCTCCATCAGAGCCCCCTGGTGGTGACACAGAGATGACAGAGACAGAAGACAAGGGAGATAATAAAGACATGGAAGAAACAGGGGAGGACACTCTTCCAGTAAGAACTATAAGAAAAGAATAAGCAATGAAACTTTGAACATTTCATGATACATTGTGAAGTCAAATTTATCCAGCATTTGATGAATGGCTAGAAAATCATGTAAAGTAAGAAATTGTGTTGATTTGCATCATAGATCATAAAATTTCTTTCTGGAGTTATTCATAGCTAGGTCATGTATTAAAGGATTCAGAAGCTGTTTTCAATAGACCAGGTTTATTAAAAATGCAAATAGCTAAAATAGAAATTATTAATACCATATGCTGCGTTATGTATATTTGTAGGAAGTGGAGCCAGAAATAGAGGATCAGGACAACCAGACTGGAGAGGAACCAGACAAAGAACTGGGAACCAGGCAAGAGGAGGAAGAAGAGAGGGATCAAGGATTTTCTGCTCAGGTAATGACCATAACAAAGAACTTACTAAATTAGAATTTATTTAATGGAAGTAAATACCTTCAGTTTCTCAGGAATTTATTAAATTTATGTAATGGGAGTTAATACTTTCAGTTTCTCAGTGATTCATATTAAGTTGTTGAAATAATGATTAGTTGCATATACTGCAGAATGAACCAACAGATATCAGTGCAGAGGATGAAGAAGACAGCTCTAAGAATAAGGAGGACAAACCCCAGGCAGCGGAGACTTATGGGAAGACTTCCCATGATTCCCAGAATGTAGAGCAGTCAGAATCAGCCCAGGATCAGGGACGGGAACCAGGCAATGACCAGAAAGAGGTTAATTGGGCTTTATTGAGGCAGGGCAACTTATTTTTCTATGCAAAAAATGGCTGCTAATTTTAAGAAATTGATTTGATTTCTGTAAATTAAAGACCTTCTTTTCAAAGAATATTATTCTTTATTTCATTCTATTGTATATCTTCTGTATTACAGGTATTTAGAGGATTAAAACTTTTTGGCAAAGAAAAAATTCCAAGATACATATGTATACATGAACATGTCTTCATACTTTATGGTTGAATATAATTCTTTTATGATAAAATAAATAGAGTTCTGCATTTTCATGTATATGATAATTAAACTTTTAACTGAATGTACTTATTTACAGAGTGAAGGAACAGGCACTTCAAATTTAGAAGTCCAAGAGGGTCATGAAGGTCAAAGTTCAAAGGTTGCTCCATCCTCCACTAATCAGTCTCAAAAGGTATTCTGGCGTTAGTTTTATTGTTACTTACATATAATGACGTAAACTTTGTTATAATGGATGATAAATGGATTCCAAATCATAGTATGTAAGTTTCCTCGCAGAAATTAAAGCCAAAAGTTTTGATCTATGTAAGTCAAAGACATTAATCATTAGCTTTTCAACCTTTACACATCCTGTTGTGATTTTTACTTTTAGTCTGTGAAGCGAAAAGCTGGTCAGTCTAATGAAGACAGGAGTTTAGGAACTAATGAGAACCAGTTTAAAAAACTGAAGACCATTGAAGAATTTTCTGCTACTGAGGAGGTATTTTTGTCTGTCCAAATTAAAAGCATTTAAAACCATTATGATAATGTTTGGAGCAATGAAAAAATACTTATCATTTCTTTGTGATTATGATTTTTAGTTTTGAAGAATCACCTTTCATTTACTGACACTGATTTTGTAGAGAGAGGAAAACCAAGATTTTACAGAAAAAATTTCAGAGCTGTATGAACATATCAAGGACACGAAAACATCACACGATGCCCAGACACAAGATGTCGCCACTGATAAACAACAGGTGGAGGAAGCTGTACCTAACAGAGAGGTGGATCCAGAGATTGGAGGGGTGGAGGAGGAGGAAGAGGTGAAGATGGAAGAGGACAATGAAGAGGTGGGTGGGAAAAAAAACTTTTACAGCACATGTCAGAATTTGGATAGATTTATACAATGGAAAAGATAATAAAAATTATTTGTATAACGAGGGAAACCCATATCTTTATACAAATTTTTGGTTTAGAATTTCAGCTGAGAAGGTTCAGATACTGTGAAATGATAATATTCATGTTATACAATTTAAAAGAAGTCTTGATATTTCCCCAGGAAATGCATGAGTCAGTTGAAAAACTGCCATCTCACATAAACACAAAAGACAAACAAAACAAGAAAAGGGAAGGAATGAATGAAGAAGGGATGAATGAAGATCAGGAGGAGATAATGAAGTATGAAACAGAGGGTGTTGTCAAGGAAACACTGGGGGCCTCAAGGGGGCCAGAATCTACAATTCACACCACACTGGAGAATCTCCACCTAGAAGCCAGGGTAGGGCAATAGACAACATACATTGTTTTTTTTACTCCTTCTGTAGATTCAGATCTTTCTTTTAACTTATTGTGAAACTGGATAAATATAGACAAAAGGTTTATTTTCTATCAATTTTCCAGGGATCTGACTTGGATATGGAGAAGCTCAGATCAGAGTTAGAGGAACAGTTATCTACTTTTACCAACACAGTTAACCATACAGCAGAGGCAGTGAGTATTACTGACAATATTTCCATTTCTATTTGTTTTCTCTGTGATAACTCTTTGAAAGTTAGGAGAGTTGATTTCTTGACCATTCTACTGGAATGCAAATTTCGCCAAGCAAAAGGTCAGGAGCTAAGAAGGCCTAATATGCATGTAATTCTCTTGCGGCTGTCTTTGTGTCTGACTCTAAGGAGACCTAATATGCATGTAATTCTCGTGCCGCTGACCTTGAGTTTGAAGTCAGTGGGCAGGGACTATTGAAATTGACATGTGAGGCCTCGTGTAATTTAAATCTATTAGTCTTCATTTTCAAAATCTAAATTTACAATTTTATTTCACAATGAAATGGAAATATAAGGAATCACTGCCTAGTAAGTAGAGTATGCCAGGGACTTCAACGATAGTTGGAAACGTGGGATAATTTATGCATAACGGGCAAAGCCCATTATGCAAATTATCCCACGTTTCCAACTATCGTTGATGCCCTGGCATACTCTACTAAAAAGACAGTGATTCCTTAAATAGGTAGATTATAAATATAATCAGCAATGGAATTATTTGTAACAACACACACAATCCACATATTTTAACAGAACACCAGTTTTTTTGTAAACATGTGACACTCTAGGGTTAAATGAATGAAGGGAAAAGATTTTTTTTCATCAATGATTGACAGGAGGAGGCGGCATCAGAGGCATGGCACGGATACGAGGCTCTGACATCAACTCTGTCCCAGGAACTATGTGAACAACTCAGGAAAGTGTTAGAACCCTCACAGGCCACAAAACTCAGGTAAGGTCCCAGGAACTGCATGAACAACTCACTGACAGGCTAGTGTTAGAGCCCTCACAGGCCACTAAACACAGGTAAGGTGCCAGGAAGTGTGTGATCAACTCAGGCTAGTGTTAGAACCCTCACAGGTCACAAAACTCAGGTAAGGTCCCAGGAACTGTGTGACCAACGCAGGCTAGAGTTAGAACCCTCACAGGCCACAAAACTCAGGTAAGGTCCCAGGAACTGTGTGAACAATGCAGGCTAGTGTTAGAGCCCTCACAGGCCACAAAACTCTGGTAAGGTCCCAGAAACTGTGAACAACTCAGGCTAGTGTTAGAGCCCTCACAGGCCACAAAACTCAGGTAAGGTCCCAGGAACTGTGAACAACTCAGGCTACAGTTA